TATATATATATATATAGTTATATACTTTAATAAGATGTGAGTTTTTCCTCCAGAAATCTACATGGTATCAGAGCAAGGAAGAAAACCCTTTCTCTCTCCTTCATTAACCAAAACCTCTCCATGCACTCAAACCTTGCAAGTGTCTTCTTGTTGCCGAATTCTGTCAAGCGTCCTCCTGTCGCGTGAAAATCATCATCCTATGTGATCCTGACAAGCCTTTATCCCATTCTCGTATGCCTGAATCACTTGTTGGCATCACATCTTCGTCTATGAATTGTCAGTGGCAGATATTCAATCGCTTTGCCTACGTCGAATGACTTGTGCTTCCAAAATGATCGTCTGGATTACTGCTCTGATTGGCTCATGCGTCTAGATTAATCACATCGACTCCTCATTTGTCGGACCTCCTTCTACTTAAATTGATTGTCTGGATCACTTTGTTGATCAGCCCCTTCTCCCTAAATCATCTAGATCATTTCATCATCTAGAACACTTGGCCGATCAACCTCTTCTCCCTAAACTGTGAAACACTTCTCAAATTGTCCATGTGGCAACTCTCCCCATGGAGCTTCTCTTGCTGACCTAGCTGCTCCTTCCCGGGCAAGTAGAGCAGCTACAGGTGACTATCAGCCTGCTGCAGATACTGGGTCTCGTCTCCATGGTACTCAGCAGGAATCCTGTGTCGCGATAGACACTTTCTCCCTGTAATGGAAAATCATGTGTCACCGACAAACAATTTCTAGCTTAGATGTAAATCTTGTGTCAACGACGAATAATTTCTCAAGGATGTATTTTATTATTCCAACACCAATTATTTTTATTCATAAAATCTTTTCATTTTGATTCTTCAAGCGTATCTTTTATAACTTGCTTAATAATACTCTTTATTTTATCCCACATAGCATAAACAACCCAAATATTAAGATCTTAAATTTTACTCAAATATGATTTTTGTATTAAGAAAATTTTGAATTTTCTAAAATTATTTGTATTCATTCAGAGCAAGAAAAGTTAAAATCACATTGTGTTAATTCATACAACATTCTCAGACATTAATTCAGAGAAACATGTGTGGACAAACTTATTTTTGGTAATTTGTTGTGTCATACACGTCTTTCTAGAACGATCGCATTCTTTAAAAAATAGTGAACCACTTACCTTATTTGAAATATATATTTTTTTTTCGCAAGAATATTGTCATTCATGACAACATATTGGTGCTCTAGACATGAATTGGGTATTTTTAGTGATTGGCATATAAGACACTTACAGTACTCACCCAGACAAGAAATATACTAGTCTATTTAATTTTATTTGATAGGATTCACATTCACATGGATATATAATCATTTCTAATAGCGATTGTTCACATGAACATGTGGTCATCCACACTTGCACATGATTTAGCATTTTAAGCTGATTATCAATCACATTCAACCTTTTTGAAGGTGTTAGTTTGTGGATTTGGGGGTGATTATTAGATATTAAAATATTCATTAGGTGTTTATTTAATTGAAAGTGATTTATATTTAAGTCTCATTTTGTTAAAGTGAGATCCATAAGGTATCAAACTTTTCCTATAAATTAAAACCCTTAATATAATTTCATCTAGTTTACCATTTGTATTCTAATATGAATAGCTTTTCTTTTATTATATTCACAGTATTTATCTTATATACTCAAAGAACTATCCACACTATCTTCCACCTCACCCCCTCTTCTATAAACAAAAGAGTAAAATAACCCCATCTCTCTCAACTGCCTACTGTCTCTTCCATTGCACAACCCTAAAAATCTTTCCTTTTCTCTTTACAACCAGTTAAAATAAATATCTTTATATTCCAATACCTCCAATCCCCTACATACTCTATCTCCAAGAATAGCAACCAACACAATACCCCCAATCTCCCTTTACTATGAATCTTCTTCCTTTACCCTTCACCCAACACAGTAGAAGTGTACTTCCACTCACACTCTTATTTTTGAACTAACAGCACTTTGTCCCTCCAGTATCGATTACTCTATTTATCTCTGTACCACCACCCAAAACCCCATTTTCTCTCTTTCACTTCCTCTATTTACTCACTCTCCTCAAGAACAACTTATACAGTATAAGTATTATAATATTTAGAATGAAATTTCCTATGCAAACTTCCTTCTGTTACTCCATACTACATTTAATAGCTTTGTAACAATGCAACCAACTTGACGACAAATAGAGATCAATATATTAGAGAAGTTGAGTTTAGACATAGAAGGCTTAAAACATTAACATGGTGAACAAATGATATAGTGAGGAAGACATACAAGGAATTTAATAGCATAAATAAGGATCAATGATGACGTATCTTTTACAGAGATGCAGAGGAGATGCAGAGATGTAGACTTCAATGAAAGACTCAATTCAACTTTTGATTAATTGGTCAAGCGTTGAAACTTAATGCTATTGTGCATAGAAGAGATGTGGAAGAATAGCGAGTGTGCCAGGGCTTTAGCAATTAAAGGTCTAATTTAAAAGGTAAACAATATCTGCTATAATAAATATGAATCCTCCCTACTTAGATACCCAACTTGTGGTGGGCAATAATTTCTAGAGGCCATCCACAAGAGATCACAAAATTTATTAGTTAAAAATAAAAGAAATAACTTTGTTTAAGGAAATAACATGTTTTCCGATTTAAAGTAGTCTGCTAGAAATTACAGTCAAAGGGCAAACCTTAGTGGAGTAAACCCGTTCATGGGATTCATCAAGAATGATATTTGTTGCTTGATCAAAGCCTTTCAAGATTCCCTATAATAGAGATACACAAACAATGTCAAATGCCACACCAAGCCCGACACCAAAATTATTTAAAAATAGTACAATCAAAATGGAGTATAAGAGATTATAAACAGGAATTCATTAGTTTTTGCAAATATGCAAAATTTTAAGCATGTTTACACCGAAAAATCATTCATTAAACAATGGATGCTTGAATCCAAAAGAATTATTATTGAAGGGGGCAACGCTATTTTCATCAGCTGCCTTCGTAAAGGTATAAACAGCACCCGATGGAGACAAAAACTGGATATTAATATAGATTTAGCTTTTTTAAACAGCATTAAACAAGTTTTTTTTTTCTTTTTGCCCATAAGGATTGTAACAAAGCAGCCCATTTTTGTGCTAGGCTTGCTTTACATAGGTCTTTTGCTTGGGATTGTCCCACTTGTGATCCCGATTTTTCAGTGTGGTTTGCCAACCACACTGAATCTTTTACCTAGCCTTTTGTATCTTGTTTTTGTTTAATAATGCAATATGCATACTCAAGAAAAAAAGCCTGACAACAAATAATCAATTTGATAGATGTCATTACAATAAAGGAAGATTTATGCACATATAACTCAATTCTTAAATATTAACATATCTAACACTTAAACTTCAATTTTTGCATGTATGCCACCTTGCTATGCATAAAAAGTTGTGTTTCATTCTTAATGTTAAAATAATGGAATTTTAGATGTGATATTAAAGATTTAAGTGAAACAACTGTAAAAAGCAAAGTTTAGGTGTTAGACATGTAAATACAGAATAATTTGGTGGTATGTATGTAATGCCCCTAAAAAATTATCACACCAAATAATGGATCAATGCTTACCACGATATTGCGCCCATCATTTGTTATCACTGATATTGTCTCTGAAAATAAAAAAAAAGAGTAACATGTTATATGTTAAAATATCAAATGTGAAACCTCTGTTTATCTAACATTTTAAAAGAGCCTAAACAACAAATAAAAGCTCCAGCAAAAGAACATAAGTTTGTAAAGATGAAACATCAAATCACTCACGGTCTACAAGAGACTCGAGGCCTGGACCAGTTGACATCCTGTTTCAGTTAGATTTGCACAATTCTTTGTAACGGAATAGCTCTATCACTGGACCACTGGACAGCATCCAGACAAGACGATCAGTATTTAAGGAAAAAAAATCAGTATACTTGCAGCCTTTCATTTTTTTCAAAAATAATAGTGGCAACCAAAAAAAAAAAGAATTGTCAAAGGAAAAAACAGAACTACCCAGCTAGAGAAAATGCAAACAAAGAAAATAGTACATAATAAAACACCAAACATCAAAATAAGCTAATAAAATATCATAAGAGAAATAAAACTTTGCATTTGATCACAATTGACAAATTAACATGCTACTCAGTTGCTCAAATAACAATGCTACAAAAAAAGAAAAAAGAAACACCTGCTCAAGAAGCCACCCTCTCCAATCCACCATTCCGATTAAAAAACACAACTCTCCAATTGTTGATGAGCAATACTAACACCCATATAATAAAACCCCCAAAAAAAAATACAGAAGCCAACTCCAAGAATAATGAGAGCACAAATAAAATGAGGAAATGTTAGATGATCACACAAATTACCATGCAAAACAAACTACAAACACATAATAAAGAATAGAAGTTTCCCTTTTCTATTGGATTAAAATTCTAGAAAAGGTCATCTAAGATATGCATTGAAAAATTAGTAGGAAGAAAATTTTCTCAATGAAGATGACAATATTGTCCATTCAAACAATTAGATAAAATAGATAAAAGCCATAGAAAAATTAAGGTTTCTTGGATCCTAATTTAAAAAGGGATTCTGACTGAAGAGAAAAAAGTGAGGATCTTCATCATCAAAGAAAAGTATTAATTCATGCTTTAAGGGTTGTTGGGGTTGCATGCATAAAGATAAAGTCTAGATAAAGGATTCAAAATCTAATTTGATTGAAATAAACTTGATTATACTTGAATGCAGCTTTACTCAAACTTAGAAACCAAGTAAACTTCATATCAACAAACCTGACAAGTGATTCTATTTCGAGCTATCAAATTCAAGCCAGCTCAAAATATGAATAGGTGAAACAATGTTGGATGTAAGTTTCCAGCTTGCAACCTCTTTCAACAAAATCAAGATAAAAAATCACTACATTTTTGCATATTATTAACAAAGCTGAAACGAATATACATTTTTTTTTAGTCTACTAAAAAATTTTTCAAGTGCGTCGTCCTGGGATCAAAATCTACTAAAAAAATCACATAAATTTTATAATTGGATATGATCCAATTCAAAATATTTCAAACAATCCTCATTCTAATCACCTAAACCTGCTCCTTGATTTTCACCAACAAACCACTATCAAACCTTCAAAAAATAATAATGAATCTTCAACAAGGCACTCTACCTTTTACAAGGCATCCACCTTTTACTCGAGGAATTTAAATCTTCCTCTTCAAAGAAATCAACAAAGTATGTACTCAAATGGATTTTCTTATTTTCCAATGGCAACGCATTCATTGATTCCTACAGTATTACTTATAAATGAGCGCATGAATATTCCTTCAAGATTATATCATAATCTAGTCCAATGTGAGTACTAAGAACTATTCCAAGATCAAGGGATAATGGAGTGTGAAGTCTATTGCAAGAGTATTTCCACTACCAATCTTTGATATTTTGCTACCAAAGGACTTGATGTATATGTGAATTTTGAATCTTTATTTAGATCATTAATTAAAATTTTGCAATACTTACAATATGCCTCAACATTTTTTTGAAAATTTAGCCATAGGGTGCATTCCTCGTGGTTGTAAGCCTCGCAACAATCATTGTAAGGCATGTACAATTTAGACCAGACTTTTTTAAGCAAATGTTAATAAATTGAATTAATAAACTCCTTTTATTATGTAATCCCCACACATCACACCTCTTGTGTATGGTATACACAAGACCAAGCCAAACACCTATCAAACATTCCCTTCTCTAGTCCTCACAAACGTCACCATCTCCTATCTCCACATCTTTGTTATTGTCACTGTGAAATTATGAGTTTCCTACTTTAGTGTTATTCTCTTTTATTCTCTTTTTGTTATGTCATATTTATTTCCTTCTCGAGTTAGTTTATCTCTCGTAAGTTGTAATGCTCGTAATTTTGTCCAAGTCGTTCCTTATTATAAAAGTAGAAAAGTTGTCATTCGATTAATAAAGAAATAAGAAAATACCATTTTATCCTACTTTCTCCATGGTATTAGAGCCAAGTTATAATCCCTGGTTCTCCTTCCTCCGCCGGAGCCTTTTTATTTAATTATCAGCCCATGCAAGCCCTCTGTTAGATCGTCTCCCTGCAAACGCACCTCTCCTTCACTGTGCTCGATTCCTTCCCAACACTTCCTGCCATATATGATTCCTTCTTTCCATCGGATCTATTCGCAGCAGGTGCAATTCCTTTTTTCGGATTGATCTCTTAGTAGAAGTGATTCTTTCAGCAGAATCATTGCTTGGCAAGCGCTTATCCTCAAGATTCTTTCTGTAGGATCAATCACTTCGCAAGAACAATTCCTCTGGATCGATTAGCAATAGCGGAAATCATAATCGGTCACTCAACTAGATTTCTCTCTCTAGTGGAAATGTCAAACCTTCGAAGAGAACTTCAATAGTCGTAGGAACTCAATCCGGTAGCTAGAACTTCTCCCGGCAGCCATCAGAATCCCTCCAGCCAGCTTGTAAACCATCCCCGTCTATTCCCTGCTTTTTTCTGAGCCGAAATCCCAGCTATTGACCCTCCTTTTACTAGATTCTTCCTGCAAGCCTTCCCAATTATCATCGTTTGCAGTCGGATCTATCCTGCAACCCAATTCCTTTCTGTTGCAGGCCGGTCTTAGTTGACTTTTCCTTGCAGACCCTCTATTGTTCACCTTGTTGCTATCGGACCTTTCTGCCAGTAACAACAGTCACAACAGCAACAACTGCATCGAAGCTATCTCTTGTCGCAATGGCAATAGCTTGCTGCATGAAAAATCTGTAGAATGAAAACCCGAGCAAGGGAGGAAAGACCAAGATAACAAGACCCATGTTGCTACCTCTTCTGAAGGGTTAGCCGACCCTAGCCCTTTCACCAAGAATAGCTGGAGGTGTTGAAGAAACTTCTTTCAAGCAAAATTGAGTGGTCTACCAACTTGATATACTAAGGTATCACGTCTTCCTCCTATCTCGCTGATAATGGAAGATTTTGACCTTGTATAATATATTATGGTGCTTCTGATCACATGATTGGATATATTCATGCTTTCACTAACTACAAAGAGTTCAATCATTCCAAATTTGTCAGACTTGCCAATGGATCTCACTCCAGGATTGTTAAGAAATGAGAAATGAAAAACTCTAAAGATATTCAACTTTTTTCTGTGTTATATATTCCCCCGTTAGATTAAAACTTACTGTCAATTAGCAAGCTTACACATGACTTGAAATGTGTTATTAAATTTCATTCCAAAACTTATGAATTTCAGGTGGTGGAATAAGGAAAGGTGATTGACAATGTTGAATTGCATTAAAGTCTATACCTTCTCAAGAAAAATTATTCTTTTAACACACCAATGTATTCTTCAATATCCTCTTTACATATTCCTGAGTTTGTTATGTCTGATTCTGTTGGAAGTCAAGTTCTATTATAAATTATTGTCTGGGTCATCCCAATTTCCATTATATTGCATAATTGTACCATCATCATTTTATTAATAAAAAAGATGATGGTCTTATCAATGTGAATCCTGCTAATTGGTTTAACATAACACATCATAAATATCATTTATCCCGGTACAAACCCTAATATCTTTTCTCTATCATCCACAGTGACATTTGGGGGCCATCAAAATTAAAAATCATCAATAGAATTGGATGATTTGTCTCCTTTATTGATGATCACATTAGAATTAATAGGATATTCCTCATAAAAGAAAAAAAAAAGAAACTGCATAAATTTTTTAGTCCTTCCATAACATGATTTTCAGTCAGTTCTAATACAAAATTCAAATCCACAAAACTGATAATGCAAAGAAATACTTTATTAGCATTGAAAACCCCTACCTTACAAAAAACAATATCATCCATATAAGTTCTTGTGTTGAAACTCCATACAAAAATGAGATAGCTGAGAGGAAGACTAGACATCTCATCAAACTATTTAGGTCTATAATGCTTTCTCACAATATCCCAAAAGTTTTATGGCGAGATGTTGTGCTCACAACCACCTACATCATTAATAGAATGTTAAGTAAAGTCCTTAGATTCAAAACTTTTCTAGATTTGTGATGAAAAAATACTCTCATGGCAAAACCTTCTTATCTAATCTTTCTCAAAAACTACTTATATCTTTTATTGCTATTCACCAAGCAGACCACACAAAGCTTGACCCAAAATTCATCAAATGTTTATTCATTGAGCAAGCTTCTAAAAAAAAGGGATACAAGTATAATTATCCCATTACAAAAAAATAATATAACTCCATGGATGTCAACTTTTTTAAAAACCAACCCTACTGACCCAAATCTAATATTCATGAGGAGAGTCATGTGAATATTAGACTTGGGACACTACTATGGATACTCACAATGATCAAGAGTCATCATAACGTATTTTATTTCTCTACATTACTTAGGATACTGATACTGATCTAAAGTCATCACAGCATATTCCCCTTTCTTCAAACCCTCCGGTCTCCAAAAATTCTACTAGTTGAGAACATTCAACATGAGATTGATAACAAGGAACTTCATGTGTATACCAGGAGAAAGAAATCCACTGAGCATGATAAAGACAATATCCCAAGATGGTTATTGTGATATCTCAAAGAAAATACATCCTATACCTACTATATGAGCCAATAATGATGGTATGCAAACCTGTTGAGACTTATAAATTTCAACAAAAAAATTACATTTAAGGAGAGAAAATCACCAGTAGAAAAGCGTAGATACCAGATATTGGTGAGTAAGCTTATATACATGTTATACATTATACCTGGTATTACTTAATCTGTCGGAATTGTGAGTCAATATATGAATAATCCAAATAAAGAATATTTAAAAACGGTTAACAAAATATTGAAATTTCTCAGGAAGACTCCTGACAGAAGATTACTGCTTCATAAATCAGACAAAGAGAGGTAGATAATATGATTTTCTCCACCTTACTACAGCCACCAATGTTGTCTTGCCAAGTTCTCTTCCTCCACCAATTTCTTCTTTCAACAAGAGTCCATAAACCCAAATCTTTTTTCTTGTCTTAATTTAATTTCCTTATATATTTAGGATTTCTTGTTTATTTAAACACTAGCTTTTTAATATTTTTAATCAAAATTTCTTATTTATTTGAATATTTTAGGGTTTGTATGAAATTATTAGAGATAATTAGAAAAACAGATTGGATGGAAAAATCCCAACATGAAAGCATAACATACAAACTTAGATTGGAGGAAATAATAAGAAATGTTTATCTAAAGTGCAACTATTACAAAAAAAAAAGTTTCTAAAATAGGTATTATAGGGTGAAATTGCAAATTTATAATTCCCACACGAACATTGTGCTATGTGCAATGAAAGAGGGGATAGGTGCATGTATATAAATAAAGAGATAATGTCAAAGCATTTAAAACATTAACGGTTTGATGATGGAATATATATTGGTTCTTACTATAAAAGTGTGTCTAGTGGAAAAAATTCCTTATCTTCTTTACCAAAAATGCCATACAAACAATCAAGTGGACCTATGGATCAATACATGGTAAAGATGAAAGATGATAGTGATGATGACGCCAAGGTAGTTCATAAGATGTTTCCTGAAAGTGGTAGAGAGGCATCCAAGTGTGCCTGTATGAATATTAGAAAATTCTTTTATAGAAATGTCATTCCACTTAAAATAACAATTTATCCTTATTTCTATATGATCCATTCAATAGATTCATATTCGGTGGGACCTAAAACCATCATTCATGTATGATTTGAGAAGTTAGATGTTAAAAGAGGAGCTCAAGAATACTAAAAGTTATTGAGAAAATTAGGCGAACTTGAAATTAAACTGGAGTGATGATCATTTATGATTGTTAGTCTAGTATTAGAAATAAAAGCTTGATTATTAATAGTAGTGTATGCGAAACTATTTTCTTAAAATATGTTGAATTATCATTATAAGGTCAAGGACGTGTAATTCATTTTTGAACTTCTTGATGAAGTCATAAAAAAGATTAGAGAGCATCTAAAGGTGGTAGACCATGCTGTTGCTTATAGTGCAGTTGAAAGAAGTCGATGAAGGGAGAAAACTTATAGATTGGTCACTATATGTGTTATATTGCATAGATTAATCTTAGAGGAGCTGGGTAAATTGTTCTAGTACAAAAATGCCTTGAGCAAAATAAAGAATCCAACAAAGTTCTATAGCAATTCATGGGTTTCACTTTAATGAGAAAATTTTCTATAAGGGACTAGGGCTGTCAACTTGGCTCGTTGTTCGTGAACAGCTCGTGTTCGGCTCGTTAAGCAGCTCGTGTTCGACTCGTTCGTTAAGCCTAACGAGCCGAACACGAACAAATTTTTAAGCTCGAAATGTAAATGAGCCGAACACGAACAACAGTTTGTTCGCTCGTGTTCAGCTCGAAATGACTCAAAAAAAAAATTATATAACTTTTTATATAACAGTATATTACATATATTATTTATATAATAATATATTATATATATTTATGTCTAAGTTTAAATCATAACACCTCATGTGGCAATGTG